GCTCATTCTACTGCCATCGTCGGCGTGTCATCGTCTCCAGTCATGTACAGAATGTTTATCGATGGGCGACCCTGAGTGCGCCTGGGTGCTGCATGGAGTTGAGTGTGTGGCAATCAGTGCAAACATATAGTAAGGCATTTAATTTGTTGAGTAGAAAATACTTTTCGCCAATTTATCGTACCAAGGGATATGAACGACGCGTTTATGCTCTATTTTGGCCGGTGCAATTTGCGACGCGCGTTGGTCGACGCCTACAGTAATCCACCCCTCTGGATATTACTCCGTGACGATCATCTATCATCGCCACTCTGGTTTACAAATTCGTACTAGTTGTTCCGCGGAATTTGCGAATTCCAAACTAGTGCGGTCGGGAACCGAATGTAGCGCTACAAAAGAGGTGATCGTCCCTATCCAACCGCCGCCTCAACCATCGGTATTTGCAACGGCACTTTTGTTTCAATAAGAGTCACTGACTGGCGAACTTGCTATCGAGGACTGTGACTGTGGCGACAAAAAATCCAATTTTCGGGTCTATTCCAGTTAGGGGGGGGGGCATCATGATGCAGTTTCTCGGCGAACTAGTGTGAACTCGAACATTCCAGCTTTTCACGCATGTCAAGTGACTGCCCTCACCCCCCACCCCCACTGGCTACACTCCCCTGGCTCGGAGTTACCTAGCTTTCTGGAAAAACTGCATCATGATGCCCCCCCCTAACTGGAATAGACCCCAATTTTTTTCTGCACCAACCATGAGCAACAGCAACGAAGACAGTGTGCACAAGGCCGGCACTAATTCGCTTGGGAGAGTGAGGGAGCACGCGGCAGCGCCGCGCTCTGTCTGCGTTCTCTGCTCAGTGTTGAGTAACGCCAGTTCTAAGGCCAAGTCTTAATAGGATAGAGACTTCAAAGTGCGTGAACTTGAACTTCGAAAACGTGAACATCATTTCCTCGGATTCGCAGATTGTTCCAACGCTTAGCCTTGAGGACCAGTTTCAGGCCTCTAGTGCGTTACGCGTTTCAACCCGAAAGAGTCACGAGCTGCGCGGTTGCGAACCGAGATTGGTGCTTCGTGGAAAAAACTATTTCAATGAAACTACTCTAGGTGTGTGTTTGATGAAAATTAGTTACCCAAATTTCATGGTCATTAGCCTCTCTGGAGCCTCTCAAGGCCCAGAGGTCAGCACTGCTGAACATTGCAATTTCACCCGTACAAAGCAGAATTCCCTCTCGTAAATACCCAAAGAAGAACGAAGAAACCTGGCGGGAAAATTATTCGAATTGTGAAAGTTTTTCGTTTTTCAATGCAACGTCTTTACCAAGAACAACCGCTACTTTTCAGCCGACGCGAATATTTGACGCAAGATAAAGAGAAGTGCAGCACCCAAGTGATAGAAAAGCCTACAACCACACCGCAGCCATTACTCCAACGTGAGCTTTTAATAATTGCCTTACAAGTCAAAAAAATCATATGGTTGCCGAGAACTCACTTTGTTTTATCTGTGGCATTTTCTGCCGTGGCCCTGACTTCACTTAGGTCCTTCTTGATCACGTCCCTCCACCTCTTCTTTGGGGCTCCTCGCGGTCGCTTGCCTTGCACTTCGAAGTCCATCGCTGTTCTTATCGGATGATCCTGTGGCCTCCTTAGCACATGCCCATACCATCGCAGACGCTGTTCCCGTACCTTCAGCTGGGCTGGTCTACACACCGATATCTGAACACAACATCGGATAATGTTGAATTTTTAAGGTAAAATGGAATGTTTATGCGAGTCACCCACACAAGTACCGTGCACCACTGAAGTGTTCCAGAGAGAAGTTGTCACCAGTACAGCTGAATTCCGTGAGTCACACTTGATAGGACGGAAATTTTTTGACCAATTTCTTATCTAGCAGATTAATCCCCACAAACACTAAAATGATCTCCAATGTTGCCATCGTGTTTTTCGGACATTCAACAATTGTAGCTTCAGCAATTGCTGCATAGAAGTATTGTGAATGAGAGGGGCAGAATAGCGTCAGCAAGTCTACAATAGTTAAAAGTTGAAGGCGCAACTCGCACAGCAGTCCTCAAAAGATGTCCCTCTAAGGTAGTCCTGAATGATCCCGTCGGAAGCTGGCTAGAGGTGGACGCGGCTACGGCTCTCATTGGTGGAGGGCCACTTGGAGACCATTGGTCACACCTCCTCGGGCGTTGAGTGATGTGGCCCAGAATCCCGGCGCTGCCCCGTCCCAATGAGCGCCGTTTTCGCGTCCGCCCTCTAGCCAGTGTGGAATGTACCTTTAGAACGGAGAAAAGGGTCGCCTTTGATGACCTGTGTGCGCTGACAACATTAGAACAATTAGATCACCAGCCAGTAGTACATCAATGTGCGGTATTCTCGACCTATTTACTACCAGGGAGGTCTTCCAAGAAATGCCAGCTTTCTCGAAACGGTTTTTCGCATGATATAGAGGTACGTGCATTAAACACAGAACTGTGGTTCATTTTCCCTGAGCTTTTCCCTCTAAATACCAAAAAAGGGTGCCCTTCTCTACGATACCACAAAACAGGAGGCACACAAAAGATTTTTCTTAGGCAAAGTTTGGGCTCAGACCCACCTAAGGAGCTCTTCCTTATCATAGCTAGAAGTGCTGGGCACGCAAGTCACAGGCAGCGCCACCTTTCTACATAAAACGCCTCACTAGAACCCTAGGCGCCATGGATTTCTAACAGAGCACCAAACTTAAAATGGCGCTCCGACGGCCGTACTAGGTTCTGCGTCACCACAGTTTTGATGTGGCGATGCTTTACTCTTTACTTGGACTTCTCTACTCGTTTCGCGCTCTCTCTCTGCTCGTCTTCTCTGATACTTCTTTCGACACTGGGAGCGCGCTCTCTCTCTATGGTATGTTCGGTTTCGTCTTTCCTCTTCTCCTCCAGCTGGCGGACACGCACCCCTCTTTCTACTGAGGTGGCCATCATCCATCAAGTTGTAATTCCTGTTATCTCGCCCTTAAGAACTGCCGTTCTTACTCTCTCACCCGCTTTTAGCAGTTACGGGTAGGTGTTGGGTGGTAGGTTTAGTTATAGATATGACATACTAAGTTGTCCCCGCTCACGCTATTTTTCGCGAATTTTTAAGCGCCAACTTTAAATGAGCGTAATAATAAATTAATAAATAAACATAAAATGCAAAAAATTGCCACTGCAAGGATTCGGACCACTTTGTCACCCCTTTTTCAGAATTCAGAGGGCCGCTCAAGAAAATGAACTGCAGTTCGTTTCGAGAAAGCTGGGCATTTCCGGAAAGACCTTCTTCGTAAGATGCACTGTAGTGGTGCATGTCACACTTTATCACTATCCCTACTAGATTGCCATTTGTGTCACTAAAAACTTCCTTGATTAGTTAACTTCATCAGAGGTCAAAGGCAGTGATTTCGATGGCCAGAGGGCGGTGCACTCTTGACGACGTCATTGAACGTCAGTTATGGGCTGAACCCCTCAACGCGCTTGTAGGGGTGTAGTTGGTATTGCCCCTTAACGCTCTCTCACAGCAACCGCACCGCTCTCCACCTATCGTGACCACCCACTGTTTTTGGGTATGACACGCGCCACTGCGGTGCGGATTTAGGCTCGATTGCTCTGTAGTACGCCATATACCGATAATTTCCATACTACTGTCCATTGACCGCGACTAAACAGATGCAGAAATATATTTTTTAAATTATTTTGCGTCTTTGAAACCATTAAAATCTCATGTAGCCACATGGACCCTCATATCTGCTTAGATTTATAACTGTAACAAGTATAACACACCGATTTCAGTTAACCCTTGGGCCTGGTTTCTGTTTTGCATAGGACTCGCCTCAGGAGCGTTGCTGAACCTCATACTAACAAGGAGCAAGTGAGTTAAAAAGCATATACATATTCTCAAAATTGATGTCCAAGGCAGCATAATTTTAACTCTTGAGCTAAGCTATACCTTGAATGTTCAAATTATGTCTTCTATTATACAAGTGATCGAATAAATAAGAATTAACTGTCTAAGCGATTCCATGCCAGAGTCAACCATGGCGTTCGGCAGATTCTGAGAACTTTTACGCTATTCCCTACCCCCCGCATTTGAGGAGGTTTCAATACGACCCCATCACCGCAGTGAGAATGTCTCCGCACACATTTTTCTTCAAAATGGATGTCGAGCGAGGAAGGAGGAGGGCGGCAAATATTCCTGAGAAACAGCAAATCCTCTGGTGTTGTCTATTTCACCTTCCCTCCGTGTAATTTCGATAAATTCGTCAAAACAGTCGT